GTAGTCTCCGGCCACCTAAATTAGGACCCGGAGACTGCCAGATGACCCCGCTCGGAGCGCCGCACACCGGAGCAGCAGTGACGCGACGCTCGGCGAGGTAAGTAAGAAGACGCGCTGGCGCTGACTCGAGTATAAGCCGAGGGGGGCACTTTTCACCCAAAAAAATGGGCTGAAAATCTCGGCTTATACTCGAGTATATCAACAGGCAGCGGTCATCCCCTGGCTGAAGCTATTCAAGAATAATGTGCGCTTGAATAGCTTTTTTGAAGTGGAAGGTGACACTAGGGGTCTAATAGACCCCTAATTTCACCGTAAAGAGAACATGTCACCTCCAATGTGCTATTATATAGGGGGCTAGTAAGCATCCCCATTTGATAGCAATGACGGGGGAAAAAAAGTTTAAAAAATAAAATAAAGGTAAAAATACAAAAACATTTTTTTAAGTCCATCGCGAACATGTGCATACCAACGGAAACATAAGTCAGGTGAACCTGCATACGTAAACGGTGACTGTGCTACACGTCGGGTATCGCTGCATGCAAGTGAGAGCAATAATTCTCGGCCAATATTCATGGCTAACTTTAAGCTGATGACGGGCTTTTAAATACATTTGTATTTTTTTGTCCAATTTTGTTGTTACTTTAAACAAAGGTTTGGTAATTTTATAAAATTTGGCATGGAGTTTTTCCGATTCAAATTTTAAAACCATGAAACTAATTAAAATGTCTAATACATACAATAATTGAAAGTAAAATGTTAGTTTTGGCCTGACATTTTGGTGCAGGAGGTTCATTTCACTGGCACCTCTTGTCCGCAGTGCGATCATCCACACCGGAATGCGTGGTACTGCAATGCTGTGCATTCCATCGTGATTCGATTGCAAAAAATTGTGCATGCAGTTTTATTCTGAAGTAAAATTTATATTTGTAACACTCCATTTGTGTACTTTATGTTAAATAAATGATGGTATTTTTTTTAAAAATCCGATTAACTGAAAAATTTGGGCTAAACGGTTATTAAAATTATTTAGGGATGCGGAAATTAACGATTAATCCCTCGATTAATCGTTAATTTTTTTGATCGATCAAAATTATTTTGATTGATCAAAGTTCTTTTGATCCATACTCACCTCTCCGCCGGCTTCCGGGTCTTCCCTCGGAGATCGATGTCCGTGACGTCACCGGACTCCTCCCCCCTTCCCCAAGTGGCTGTCGGCTAACGAAGGGAAGGGGGGAGGAGTCTGGTGACGGCAATGTCCGTGACGTCACTGGACTCCTCCCCCTTCCCTTAGTTACCCGGAAAATCAATATGTGTGAATTCACTAAATCCATATCAGAAGCTCAATAAAGATAGGCTGATGTCAACTTATGCTGCCTGTCTTTTCAAAAGGTCTTCATTTATTTAGAAAAAAAAGGAATTGTTTACAGTTACTGGCTAAATAATGTGCTATTTTATACTCTAAGACTGATGGAATAGGTTTCAATATTGTATAAGTCCTGTAGCTCAAAAACAGACCCGGGCTAACTTTCCCTGCTTGGGCCGGTGAGTACACATCCTGGCCGGGAGAGAAACACTTTTTACCGGAAAGGTTTAAATCTGCTCAATCGAGCAGATTTAACCTTTCCCTGCGATCGTTTTTATTTTTTATTTTCTGACATCGGGAGCCGCGGCCTGACCGTCAGTCAGAAAAGAAAAAAAAGGCATACGATTGCATAGCTAGATTCCTATTGGCTATTGCACTTTGCAAACTAGCTAATGCACCCGCCCACTGCTGCTGTCAATCAGCAGAGGGGGACCTGAATTTTTCTATCAGGTCCTCTTCTGGTGATTGAAAGCAGCAGGGGGCGGGTGCAATAGCTAGTTTGCTATAGGCTATTGCAAAGTGAAATAGCCAATAGGAATCGTTATAATTAAATCGAAATTAATTGATTAAAAATGTTTTCGATTAATCGAACAGGAAAATTTTAATCATTACCAGCCCTAAAATTATTGTGTATAGGCACATGGTGGGTATAGACCAGTGGGGAAAATAAATCAGTCAAAAACAATACTTACTTTGTACTTTTGGCCTGATGTGCCTGGCAGTCCTCTTGGTACCTGTTGAGCTGTCCAGGCATCACACTGCTGATAGCCACTTTTAGTCTTTGCAGAGGCTCTTTCAGTCGGTCATCCTATAAAAGTTAGAACACACTAGTATGTATATTGAGTAAAAGCAATTTAAATCCCATATAGGTGAGCTTTCCTATTACAATTTTCAAAACATAAAATGTTAAAAAAAAAATCGTGTTTAGAAATGGTATGTGATCAATCTGCACAGAAACAGCAAATAGGATAAGTAGACCAAACAAAAGGCTGACTATTATGTCTCTTAAAAAAAAGACTGAAAGACAACTAAATGATATCCCTATGTAGATGTCAGAACAAGATAGCCGCCTACACATAGAGACAGTGCAGAACAAGGCATGGTAAGTCAGTAATAGGTAGAAAGTATAATCTACAGGGAGACCAAAAGCAATACTAAGAACTAGTCTTTGTCCCCCTTCTTGCTTTTAATTCAAGCTTAGCTTCCAGAGTTCAGTTACACTTTAAAGTAGATGTAAACTCTAAGGCCCCATTCACACTTGGCGATTCGCAAATCGCGCGTTTGTCGCGCGATTTGCATTTTGCGCATAAGATGCGAATGATTAGGAAGTTGCCATGGAGTTGCCACAGACAGACTAAGTCTATCTGTGATCCACACTCTACAGGGCAAATAGGGAGTCACCAGAATTACTGAAGTCTCTTCTAGAGCTATCCCGCAAAGGAGACAGGCCAGAATTTTCAAAGGAGGAAAGTCATATATTAGACTGAACTGATCCCAAGGAGTTACTAGAGCATCTATTGCAAAAACAGTGGGATACTTGAGTTTGGATACAAAGTTGTCCAGTTTCTTGTTGAACCTGGATGCCAGTACATCTACATCCACTCTTGAACCACTTCTTGGTTCAAAGACCATTCCCCTTGATCAAGCTGCTCCAAACTGGGAAGATTCACCCATCAATTCTCCACCCTGGGAATGAACCGGACCATGGGACTATGCCCAATGCTGAGCGAAGGGAACTGATTTCAAAGTGGATACCATCATACCCAGGACCCCTCATGAAGAAAAGTGACTGAGGGATGTGACTGAGACCAAACATCATGGACTAGATTCCAGGGATCAGATTGTCATGGGGAAGAAACACTCTTATCCTCTGCATCTGGGTACCCCCTATCATAAAGGGGAACCCTTTCTTAACGGGCGGACGGCAAGAGGTTAACGCGCGTATCCGGCTGTATCCATCAGGATACCCCCTCGGAAACTCGCGTGTTTCTTTTACCGCAAATCGCGGTAAAACCGCGCGGCAAGCGCGAGTTTCCAATACGCTAAGGTGTGAACCCAGCTAAAAGGGTTAAATAAGATGTAAATAAAACACACACCTTAGAAAAAAATTATATTAATCCTTTCGCTGCCAAGGCCTTTTTGGTTATAATCCACATTTTTGGCCTGAAAATTACTTCAAACCCCCAAACATTATATATTTTCTGAAAGCAAAGACCTGTAGAATAAAATGGTGGCAGTAGCAAATGTTTTGTGTTGCATATTAGCGCAACTCTTTTTTAAACCCCAAAATCTTGTGAAAAATACACTTAGTGACATTAAACCCTCAGATTTTTTAACATAAACCAATACTGTAATGTGTGTTTTACTGTAATCAATGGTAGTTTCCCTTCTCTTTGCTGCTCTTCCTTTTAAATCCTTCTCTCTTCTCATGCTGGGGGAGAACTTCCCTTTGCAGCTGAGTGCCTCTTCCTGTAGTGCTGGCTCAGGTTGTGAACCTGCATACAGACACCATGTATCCATTCCAGAGACAAGGCAGTCTGCTGCAAAACACAAGTTCTGCTCAACATGAGAAGAGATAAATACGCCAGAGTAGGAGCAATAATTCTAGGGCCAATATTTACGCGCATCTCAAAACTGATGACCTGTAGGGGCTTTTAAAGCGTCATGTATGGACTTTTTGGGGTAATTAATTCTGTTGCAGTTTCACGGATGCACACAATTTGTAACTTGGGCATGTTGGATATCTATTTACTCGTTGTAACCTCATCTTTTATATTTTACAAAACTGGTTTGATATAGTGCGTTGGGGCATTAAATTTAACTTAAGTGCAATTTTCACAACATTTTTGGGTTTGATAATAAGTTGCGCTAATGTCGTGCAACATAAACATTTTGCAATTGCCACCATTTAATTCTATAGGGTCTTGGCTTTCAGAAAATATATAATGTTTGGGGGGGTTTTAAAAAATTGTCAGGTCTAAAATGTGGATTAAAAACATGTAAACAAAAAATGAAAAAAAAGGCCATTGTCCTTAAGGGGTTAAATTAAAATTTTGGTTTGATAAAACAGTTGCACTAATATTATGTAGCATAAAAAAATTGCAACTGCCACCGTTTTATTCTACAGGATCTCTGCTTTCAGAAAACATATAATTTTAGGAGGGTTTAAGTAATCTTTAGGACTAAAATCTGTATTTTAACATGTGCAAAAATGTTTCTGGCAACAAAAGGGTTAAATAGTGGCTAGGGGGAAAAAAAAAGGGTGGAGGATACAATGTAAAACAACAAGTTTACAGGGACCTCACAATGAGATCGATGAAAAGGAGAATTTCCAACTTTAAAAAAAACAAAAAACTACAGAGATGCGATAATACAGTGGGGCTGATGTACAAAGCATTCACCCAGCATATAGCTGAGCAAATGAGGTTCAAAAGTTATTGCTGCCACCACAGTGGGTATAGCAAAGAATCACCCCTCATCAAAATAATCAAATGTTGTTGTTTTGTAGCCTGAAATGGAGACAGACACAGTTTTTGTTTTTTCCAGCTGTATTTACTCAGTGCAAGTTATAACATCGAAGTGAAAGATATTGTAACAGACTTCCCCGTCCATCGGTCCGGGCGCAGTGCAGAGATCCGCTGCAGCCCTAGCGACGTCATGCGGCTCCTCCTCCCTTGTTGGCTTAAGTCGCGAAACATACTTGCCTGGCTATCCTAAATCGCAAGTAGTTTACTCTTTTTAAACTGCTTCTACTCTGCAGTTAAATTGAATGCTACATATTAGACTGTACTCTCTTTACTTGTTGCCATGTAATTGTAATGGGAGGACTCCTGTCTAAAGCTCAGTAATTTGGGTCACATTCCCCCAATCTACAGCTATTTAAAGGGAAACTCCTCCACTACATATCTGTAGGTGAGATTCATACAAGAAAGGGCCTAGAGGGGACCTGGCATGTTACAGATATAACACCATGTCAGAAAACAAATTCAAAAACAGAATCACCGAGTTAAAAAAAGGGTCACCCACTTGTTTCAGTATTTTGTTGAACCACCTTTTGCTGTAATCACAGCCTTTAGTCTGTAGGGATATGTCTCTACTAACTTTGCACATGTAGACTTTTGCAATATTTGCCCACTCTTTGCAGAACTGCTCAAGTTCAGTTAAAATTTGATGGTGACTGTTTGAGGACTGCAGTCTTCAAGTCATTTCACAGATTTTCAATGGGGTTTAAGTCTGGGCTCTGACAAAGCCATGCAAGGACATTCACCCTTTTCTCCCTCAACCACTGTGTGGTCATTTTTGCTGTGTGCTTTGGGTCATTGTCATGTTGGAAGGTAAACCGTCTTCCCATTGACAACTTTCTGGCAAAGGGCAGCAGATTTTAATCAAGCATTTGACAGTATTTTGCCCCATCCATTTTTCCTTCTATCCTGACAAGTGCTCTAGTTCCTACTGCAGAGAAATACCCCATAACAGGATATTATCATCTCCATGCTTTACTGTAGGAATGGTGTTATTTGGATGGTGAGCTGTATTGGATTTCGGCCAGCCATATCTTTTGGTGTTGAGCCCAAACAATTTCATTTTAGTCTCATCTGACCATAACACCTTTTTCCATGTGGCCTCAGAATCTTCAAAGTGCCTTTTGGCAAAGCTCAGCAGTGACTGCAAGTGGCCTTATGAGTGGCTTTTTTTCTTGCTACCATCCCATACAAGTCCCCTTTGGTGAGAATTTGTGATGTTGCTGTCACATGCACACAATGACCACTCTGTCATAAATTCCTGCAACTGCTTCAGAGTTGCTGTAGGCCTCTTGGTAGCCTCTCTGATAACTTTCCTCCTGGCTCTTCCATCCAGTTTCGAGCGACGACCTGATCC